ACCGCTGTATCGTCTGCTGCCTTGGTTTTAAAAGCCTTCACCAGTATAGTGGCTGACTCAGTCAGTGCTGGAAGGACATGGAGCCTTTACTGCAGTAAAACTAGTGATACTACTGTGAAATACTCTGTTACAAGTAAAAGTCCTGCATTTCTTGATACTACTGGATCCTAATGACTGATGCATCATCATGTTCATCGCTTACACCTTATATACTAGTGAAGTAGCAGAAAATGGAAACACTCCAGTACAAATATCTCCAGTACTTCAGTACAGCTCCTGAGTTAAGTGTATTTGGTTATGTTGCAGACTGGCTGACGGTAACAACCACACACAGATGTGAACATTACCCAGCTGCCCCAGCAGGTTGAGCAAGACGAAGGCGTTGGCCAGGAAGTGTCCGCAGCTCCACGTGGAGTCGATGTACTCGCTCTGCTCCCCCCACTGGAACCACATCCGGACCCCATCCTCCAGGAAGGTGCTAACCAGACAGAGCCGGGCCACGTGGGGGAGGTAGTGCTTGGTGAGCCGCAGGAACTGCAGCAGAAGGGGGTGGGGGGTAATCATTTTATACAGACTTTGTTTACTCGGGTAGTCTCATGAAACCCTGGTCCGTTTCTCTAGAGACACCTGAGAACAAACATTCACAGTGAGAAAACACACGACCTGCACTAGAAGATAAAAACAGGTTCTGTGGCTCCGAGTCAGACTGAACACACGTGGAGCTGGTAGCTGCCGTGGTACTGTGCACGCCAGCACGGGCAGCCACAGGACATGAGGACACATACACTGACGTAGACTAGAGGGCGAACTGCAGGTGTCAGCTCACAGGTATGTCACTAGGCCGCTAATCAACGAACTGACACAAATATCAGCAGCAACTATTTTGATAACTGACTCACTGCTCAAGCAAAAATGCCAAACGTGGCAGTTTGCTGCTTCTTTCTTCTAAAAGGGGCGGCTGTGGCTCAGGAGGTCGAGCGGGGCGTCATCTCACCAGAGGGTCAGTGGTTTGATCCCCGTGTTCCCCAGTCCACATGGCGAAGTGTCGTGGAGTTGCACGTAAGCTGCAGTTCAGTCACATGGAGATGTGTGCTGTCGGGGGCAACACCGGGCCTGGTGCAACACTGAGGCTGCAGCTGACAAACATTCTCAGTAAAAAAAAAACAAATGTGCACCCTGTGAGGCAGCACAGTGCACGTGCAGCTGTTTGTGACAGACGCAGCACTGTGCACAAGTTGTTGGCTCTTCACATCGTGGTTAGGTTTAGAAGTTCTATACAGCAGACACTGTCTGTACCAGTGAGAAAAGCTGTACGTCCTCGAACCTGGAAACGTGTAACAAGTTGTTGGAGAAAACAGCTGCTGCTTGATTCTCCCGCCGCGGGCGGACAGCGAACATCTGCAGGATCACACCTGCAGCTGGATGACAGCTAAAATAACTCGGCCGGTTTGTTCCTTCAGCTGCGGCTCAAACACGAGCCTCAGAAAAACGTTCCTGAAAGATACTTCACAACATAACACGCCGGTTCTGCTGTTGTCAAGCCACGCAAACGCCGGAGCAGCGGCGGTAACGTAAGCTACAGACGGTGCGACCCGAGTCTGGTACGCAGTGACGTCACTAACGTACCTGTTGCAACTAAAGCGATTTAAATTCTGTTGTAAAAAACGACAATTATTAATGCTTTCACTTTGGTACTTTTCTTTGACTGAAACGAACATTTAAACTCAACTTCTGTCACACCAGACTCCGTTGAGAAATCTGTGAATTTAGATTTCCACACCGGATGGCAGTGACTCACAGCGGGTATAAATAGCTGCACAGGCCGGGGGCGTCGCTGGGACGCCCTCCTCCAGCTGTCGGTATACGTGTAACTGATCAGCACTTCCTTTAATTATTGCACATTTAGAGGTGATTTGCTTTTTAAATAACAGTCCATCATAGTAAACAACGGCTGCATTTTCTTTCTAATCGGCGTCAAACTATTTCCTGCAATGTTTCCAAGAAACCACGCAATTTGGGCTCTGTATCGTTCATGGGCACCACCACCAGACTCCCTTCAAAATCTATCACTTTAAAATTTCCGTACTCGTTTGCTAAGAATCGCAGCTGGTAGCAAACAGGCCCAGAGAACAGCGGGCCAGCGGCTCTTGGCTCCGGTTCGCAAAATAACTTGTATAAAAAGCTGTTTTCGGTATTTAGCAGGATCTACACCGCACAACACACCCCGTTACACCCACAACCTGCCTCCGCCAAACTAGCGTTAGTTACCCCGGATAACACAGTCTGTGGTTACGCCGAAAAGTTAAAACTTTAGATGTGCTAGAACAAACTGCTGATAAATAATCCCTTCGGAAGTGTCCCGAGTACCCAGCTGCTTAAACGACACGACTTTTCAAAGGAACTCGAAAGCAGCGGGACACATCCGGACAGCCGCCGCCTGTCCGAGCCCTAGCCCCGTCTCTGGGTTGTGCTTCCCGGGGAGAGGAGCTCACCTGGTCCGCTACGTCCTCCGCCCGGCTCATCAGGTCTCCGTGTCCCATCTCTAGTTCCGCTCTTAAGGCACTTCAGTGAGGAGAAACGCTCCCAGCTCAGGCTTCCGTCCGCCCAGAAAAGTCTCGCTCGCTGCTGTTAAGATCGTGATGATGCTCTGATGCTGCCTCCGACCCACAATCCTCCGCGAACAGCAGAGCGCCCCTTGTGGGCGCGACAGGGTGACGCATGCCACGTGGACTGCGAGGGTCGAGACGTCGGGGCCCAAACGCTCAACTAAATGACGCGCTGCTTACAATTACGTGCAAACGTTTGTCTTTACATTACAGATGTTTTATGGTAATAAAACAAGAGTCAAGATGACATGTTTTTAATTCATTTTAATGGGCTTTGATATAGAAAGTCAAAATAAGGAGACCCAATTTATTGATAAACTGACAGAAAAAAAGGAAACAGTTACAATTTTTACAATCTTTGGACTTTGATGGATATTTTTCAGTGTTCTGACATGTTACAGAAATGACCAATTAAGAAAAACACCTGCAGATGAAGTGATGATATCCACCGATCAGCTGTAACATTATGACCACGGCAGGTGAAGTGAATGACATTGACCATCTGTTAGTGACACCTGTCAGTGTGGGGGGTATATTAGGCAGCAAGTGAACATTCAGTCTTCAAAGTTGATGTGTTGGAACCAGGAAAAACGGGTAAGTGTAAGGATGTGAGTGACTCTGACGAGGGCCAGACTGTGATGGTGAGATGACTGGGTCAGAGCATCTCCCAGTCTGCAGGTCTTGGTGGGTGTTGTTGGTCTGCAGTGGTTAGTACCTACCAACAGTGTCTAAGGAAGGACAAATGGTGAACTGGAGACAGGGTCATGGACGCCCACGGCTCACTGATGATGAGGTTTATCTACTGTAGATTAAACGTTTAACTTCCATCCATGTATAAAAGGCTGCACTGTGCAGGAGGTACTCAGACCTGCTCAACTTGCTCCCATTGTTTAATTATTTTTGCAACATTAAATTAAAAAATCATTAATAAATGCACAGCAAATCAACAATCTGTTGGATTATAGGTGATGTCGAATTGTTTTAAATGCACTTAAAGGTTGTTTAAAGGTTTCCCTGGCCCGATTCTCTCTCGTTTTTACAGTAAGGTACGTACCATGTACTGCATGGCCACCTGCTGACATCACTGTGTCAGGACAGTACATTTACATTTTCCTGCAGCTCTGTTTATTTTATGGCTCAGTCTCTTTTCAATGCTGCAGCTTTTCCTTCAGTACAAAGTTGCAGTGTGGAGCCGAGGTGCAAAAGCTCCTGTTGTGATTCTTCATAGCTGGGAGAATGGAGCAGATACAGAAAACCACTCAGCCAAACATCTCCTGAAGTGCCTCATTCTCAGGACTGACGGTGCCCCATTCCTCTACACCCAGCTGGAGTTTAGTGTATGACCTGGAACATGTGATGTTTCTGCCTAAAATAAAATGCCTCCAGTGCTGCTGCTTTATTTCAGCGGAGCCTCTCCTCCCTTTGTACACAGTCACCTGCAAATCAACATGCTCATTTCCACATCATTTTAAATGGAAATCAAATTCAGAGAAACTGGTTTCTGCAGCTCTCCACACTACAGAAAGCAATCAGACTTTTTTTGAAGGGTACTGTTAGGGTGATTTTTATTTTTAAGTAGATATGGATAGAATTAGTTAAGGTTTTTAAAAGAACTCTCCTCACAGTACTATATGACTAGAATGTACAGTTGTATTTTAGTAGAGGGCGGCTCTGAGCTCCTGCACACACACAGCACCGTGGGACAGTTACTGTTGGTTTGGTTTCTTTAGGTGTTTACAGACAAAAAAACACCAGCCTGGTCCTTTAATAAGAGACATTCAGATGTCCAGGACACAACGTGAGATTTCGGGACTTCAGTTAAACTCTGAGGTGCAGGTCCTCCAGCAGCCCCTCAGATACGGTGAGCAGTCAAACACTCGCCAAACATTTGCCAGCGAAACCCGTGCGCGCACACACGTGGACCCGTTGAATGCTGATGTGTGGGTCTGTTCTGAAGTTAAAGTTCTGGAGACACGAGGGAGCCCGACTGTGGGAAGCCATCATCGTCAGTGCATCACCAGCACCCACAGGTGCATTGTGGGACATGGTCTGAGCAGGTCAGCTTAGGGCAGATGGGTCCTTGTCTACATGTTGTGCCTCTCTCCTCGTCCCTCCTGCACAGCGTCTCCTCTGAGCTCTGTGACTCTACAACAACACAACAGACACACTCAGCTCCGTCTCTGTCAGGACATCAGGCTCCAGGGCTACCTTCAGACTACGTATCAGATCTATACTCTGAAACACGTTGTCCTCCAAAAAGAATGAAATGTCAAGACTGAACCAGGAGGGCTACTGAGAAAAGGCTGCTCTCCACAGGCTGACGGCCAGCGACACTGAGGGACAGCTCCTCGATACCAAGCAGCTACTGTCTCACATGAAGAAACACAGAACATTAAAGGACGCAGCCAGTGATTTCCTCTGTTCCCCACCAACCCTGTCCAGACACCAGCAGCACTAGTGAACGTGGTGTCCTCACTGTGATGTGTGAGTCCAGACCCTGGTCCAGCTCATCGCTCTGTGCCGTAGACCTCCACTGTTGTCCACCAGCTATTAAACCCCCCAGTGAGCCACACCGCTGCACTGGGGGGCAGGTTTCCTCCTCAAGGAACATGTCAAACCTTTTTCATTCTCTGGATGGGATTTGTGCACAATAACAAATACATACAAAATGACCAGCTGCGACCTTTAATGTCCAGGTTTGAGCACGTGTCAGACTGTGCACAGTGATTCC